CAGCACAGGCCTGCTGCCCCTTTTATACAAGCTTTAATGGATACTGTGGTAGAAGCAAATTTAGCCTCACAAGAGTGGAAAGGAGATCTCAGTAGGAGTTTATCTAACAGGGTCCCAATGAACTACTAAAAGCCGCTGATAGTATTTTTGAGATCCTCAGGCAGGTGTTCCTTTTGTTACACAATTGGCTTATGTGAATGCTAATGCAGCCTGTGCCTCCATCAGGCCATACAAAGCAAAGACAGACTTACCTGGATACTTTCGTCTTTGTGCAGAAATTGAATCCCCATACAATCAGGGTCTGGTAATGGCAGCTGCCTTGCAGGGAACTACAGTACAAGCAATGCTTTTACATCACAGAGACGATAAGGGATGTTCTAAGTATGAGGGTATAGGTCATTTTAGGAAAGACTGTCCAAAAAATCGAGGCATAGGCAGGCAGCAGAATCACTCCCTGGAATCTGTCCTCAGTGCAGGAAGGGTAATCATTGGGCCAGCACATTTGAGTTAATGCAAATCTCAGAGCAAGCTTAGCAGAGGCTTCTATGGTATTGCTTTTGTCTTGGTCATCCTGACTAGTCCCTAGAAAGGTGTTTACCAGATTTTGTTTATTGCCTTGCTTGTTACAGAGATTTATAACAGGCATTAGCTGATAAAGGACTACTGATCTATCCAGGAATTATAGATAATGATTATCCAGGAGAAATTAGAATTACGGCATTATAACTGTACCTGCTAACAAAACAATTGATCAACTTATTTTAGTTCACTTGCATTTGCTACCTTCCAAATTTGTTAAGAATTGTGGCAGAAATGTCCCTGTCCAGTGTATTTGCAGCAGGAGGCCTGTGACTGGACAGGGAAAAGGGAAGCAGAGCTAAGGGTGGCAGAGAGGAAGCAGGGAGAAATGTGAGGAGATTGACGAAGGCAAAATGGCAGTGGTTGTGGACCGGCGTGGTTTCAAGTAAATAGGTAGATATGAAATCTAAAGGTAGGAAAATTGGGATAACTTTCTAAGTTGTGTGGGCATCTTGTGTGTTGAGATTTTATTGATAGATATAAATCCATTGGTTAAATTTAAGTATCTAGAGTTTTAATTTACTGGGTTACTGGAAGGTGGGTCCACTGACAACCTGGAGGGTTATAGCTGCGAAGGAACTAGCGCCTGCAGGGACAAGTGAACCAGAACTGGGAACACAGTGACCAGTCCCGGGCGGGGGGGGGCCGGGGGCCGAGGAGTTAGACACAGAGGCCACTTTTTTTTAAATGTTAAAAAAAATCAAGCTTTCAATTTGTATACTGATAGGGGATATATATATATATATATATATATATATATATATATATATATA